ATTTTTCATCTCATCCTCATAAAATCAATTGATTCGAAAAGACGATTGCATTCCAAAGATTCATCTTCAGATTTAAAAATAACCGTTAAATAATCTGCACATTTTTCATGTTAATTTTCGCAAACGAAAAGGTCATCACAAAGTTTCGATTTCGACCAAGACCCGATTTTTATTCCAGTATCATCTGCCAAAAACCCCAAAATTGTTTCGATCATTTCGAATAATTTTGATTTCATTTGCAGTGCTTTAATTGTTTCCCATCAAATCTTGCGATGTGGAAAGTTTCTGCATGAATGCAAATAGTTTTTGCGCAAAAATTCGAAACGAATCGAAACGCAATTTTTTTTTTTGCAGTGATCGACAGAATAGCAAACATTTTTCATCTCATCCTCATCAGTTTAATTTATTCGGAAAGACGATTTGCATTCGAATATAAGGAATCCTCTCCCGAAAATCGCGGAAAATCGTTTCGATCAACTTTGAATAATAGTTTTGATTGCAATCGTGGGTCTTGTGAAGGCCGATGAACTGCAATTACTTTGTTTTCATCATCACCGTAGCTCATCAAAACCCAATTATTATTTTTTTCATGGACGAGGAAATTCGAAATGAATCGAAACGCAATTTCGCGTCGCATGAAATCCCCGTAAAGTTTGAAATGTATTTGTGAGCAAATTGGGTGCATGGATTATCTTCTCCTCATCGCAACTCAGTTTTGTTTTTCATATTTATTGACTTGAGAAAATTTCGAAAGCCATTTAAATTCAGAGTGCGGAAGATTTCTGGATAAACGTTAACCCGAACTTATGGAGAAAAATATTGTAGCTTCTCGACGCAGATTAGCGTTCATTCATTTGCGAAACTGCAAAGTGGAAAATATTCATTTTTGTGCGAAAAAACATTTTCTGCAGAAATCCCCTTGTGAAATAATTTCATGGAACTACAAAAAATGTGCATGATGATGATGCTTATTTTGCAGACGGTCTTCAAGAAGCCTCAAACGTTATCTGATCTGCGAAATGGGTGTCCATGGGATAACTGTTTTAAATTGTGGACATACTGTATCTTCTGAAAAGTTACATTTTTTTCTGTTTCATTTGTGTATATTTTTAAAGAATTTCTCATGACTCAACCAACGGATGGAAAAAAGTTCCAGAGAATTGGGATATTAAGAAGAAATTTGTTTTCTCCTACTTTGATCAATTAACTTTCTGAAAAGCGGAAACAAGAACAGCATGGAATAAGGTTTTTTATGAAGCATGAATGTGGAGCTAATTTTTTCAGTTCGTGTTTTAATCTTCTCAAATTCCCTTTTTCATTTTTATCAGCCTCTATTTATCCCCAAACGCATCAAGAAAATGTACTTGTCAATTTTTCCCCCAGAATGCATGAAAAAAGGAAAATTCTATTTCAAAACTGGAAAATTTCTCAAGTTTTTTTAAGTTTTCTAAATACAACTTATCTATAGGAGTAACATGCTTTTGGAAACAGAGTCGGAAGAAATGAATGTCGAAGAGGCTGCAAAACAAAACTAATACACCCTGCTGCAAAAAAAACAATTGCGCAAAAATCAGGCATTTCATTTTTTCTCATCTCATCTGGATCAACAGTAGTCTTTTTGAAAGAAAAAACAGTTATATGCTTGTGGAAATGAAACATAATGATAAGATTCCAATACAAATTTTTAGGAGAAACCCGGGTTAGTGCAGTGTTCCCCAACCCTTTTGGGTCTGCTGACCAGCAAATTTTGATGCAATTTTTTTGCAGACTGGCAAATTCCCAAGAAATGCTCCGAGTATACTGGCAAACTTTCAAAAAACGTTTAAAGACTTCAAAAAAATTTGCTTAACAAACTTCATAGCAAAGTCTCTGCTTCATCTTGCAAAAATTACGTTATATGGACCTGTATGAAGCCATTATAGCTGAATGTCATGAAAAACTAAAAAAAATTTGGGCTTGGAAAAAGATTTCTCAGAATGGAAAATTAAAATATATTTATTTCAGCAGGTAAAAATGTGTCTGAAGTGTCATATTAGAAGAAAAGCCAATTTTTTATTTTTCACAAAATAATTTCAAATGTGCCATTGTCCTTCCAATGTTTTAGAAAATGATAACAGAGTTCATTGCTAATTTTATTGAATGTATTATGCTGAAAATTTCCCAAAGACTGGCAAAAAACTTCTGCAGACCAGCGCTGGTCCTTAATATTGGACCTTGGGTTGAGGAGCACTATAGTACTTTAGTATAATGCATTTTACACATGCAGTTATTTTACTAAATTCAAAATATACAATTGAAGGAGGAAATGAATGTTAAAGAGGGCTGCAGTTACCCCAGCAGTTTATTGTGCCCCCAGGGGTATTTTTTCCTGACACGCGTTTAAGCAAGAGATGAGGTCAGCAGACAGTCCATAGACGCAATAGTATCTCGGTCACGCCAAGCTTTTTCAGTACGTAATTTCCTGCATCTCTCGCATACACACACACATAAGCCTGTATACACAGAGAAAGAGGCGTGACCGCAGCTGAGTCAACCGAGGTCACGCCGAACACCGGGTGGTTCCTCTTGAAGAATAACCCACCGAATAAAAAAAATAAAATACAGTCATGCTCAAACCCACCGACTGCTCGACTCTCTTGGCCCCGCATAAATTCAGTACCCAGCAATATTCGTGTGGTCCGTGTCACGGAACACAGCAACCCCGGAAGAAGGGGGTTCATATCCGGCCGCTGAGAAGAATTAGTTTCGCCGGCGAAGTCGTGATTTCCTGGAGAGTCCTCTTTTTAAGCCTCGTAATTGCCCCGAGGGCATGTTTAAGGTTTTGCAATTTTCGAGCAGAAAAAAAATGCTGGTGCGTGGGCATGATGAGGGTGGATTATTATTATTATTGGCACTGTCAAAATGTCAAGACCTTCATCAGAGTGGTTATAATATTACAATAATGCAGGTGAACCTCAATAACTTGAACCTCCCAAAGTCAAGTACCCCCAATAAAGTGTATTTTTTCAGGTCCTCATCTGAAGCCCCTTGGAAACATTACATTAAAAAACCTTGCTAATTCAAAGGCTTTTTCCCTCAAACCTCCATAAGTCAAAGTTTCTACTGCCTTCTTGGCTATTGTTTTCTTGACACAAGAAAGAAAAAAGCAATAAAACCAAAATTGACGTGTTTTAAAAGGAAGTGAAAGACTAAATTGGACAAATGAAACTGCTGCCTTCAAGTTCAGCATTCTTTCAACTCATTCAAAAAGTAATTTGAGCCCCAGAATATCACCATTTTCAGTTTTGGGCAAATTTTCTACAACCTCAATAACTTGAACCTCCCAAAGTCAAGTGCCCCCAAAGTCTATTTTTTTCAGGTCCTCATCTGAATTCCCTTAGAAACAATGCATTACAAACCTCCCCAAGTCAAAGGCTTTTTCCCTCAAACCTCCATAAGTAAAATTTTCTATGGCCTTCTTGGCTATTGTTTTCTTGATGCAAGAAAGAAAAAAGCAATGAAACCAAATTTGATGTGCTTCAAAAGGAAGTGAAAGACTAAATTGGGCAAATGAAACCCTTGCCTCCAAGTTCAGCATTCTTTCAACTCATTCAATAAGCAATTTGAGCCCCTGAATATCACCATTTATGATTTTAGCCAATTTATTTCAACGTTGTAATACCAAAAGGGATTTCTATTGCAGCTCAAACCTCTACAATTCAAAGATGAACTGTTGACCGTATATGATTTCTCATCAAAGATTCTCACAAAATTGTCCATTCAACTAAACCTCATCTGTAAACAGGCTGAAGACCTTGTGTCTTTAAATTGGGTCCAGTAACTGCTGAAATTGCTATAATTCTTGCTTATAACTGCAATTCTTGATGCTGATATTTTGTTTTCAATGTCAGAGAAAGAACGGGGTGTACGCATACACGTCAGTTGTACATTGTAGAATGTATTTTCTTCTATTTTGGTATCCATATACAGCTCATTTCTCTGCTTCCCATTCTGAAGTGATTGAATGAATTTGGGTTGGGTGGGGAGGGGGTTTGGATGTGAGAATGTTGATTGAACCTTGTGAATGATGAAAAGCAGAAAATATAGCTTTCTGTTCACCTTCACAATTCAAAACCTCCTCAAGTCAACATTTTCCCAATGAAAATGTTTGTGCTTGTCCCTTGTAATTTGACTTGAAGAGGTTCAACTTGTATATAGGAAAACAAATAAAAAAATTATTATTGATACAATTTTTTTTCCTTCTTTCGTTTTCAGTCCCACTTGGTTTGCGCCCGACCAGAAGATGCTCTGCCTTGCGAAGAAGCAGTCAACTTTTACAACGTCAACGAGAACTTTGGGAAAATCCCCGAGCCTTCGTCTTCCAAGTGAAAGAACTCCTAATTGAACCCCGGTCATCGTCGCCTTCATGTGCAAAAAGTTCGCCTCAACAATTTTCAAAATCGCTGAAAAACCACGGCGAAATTCCTCAATCAAGAGCTTTTTTCTCACTCTGTCTCCTTGAAATATCAGCCAAAAAACTTTATTCATACATTTTGCCCATGGTATTTTTTTTAATCAGCAGAAGAATCTTCCCGGAAATCAGTGATTCTAAACAGGATTTTATCTTTTTTTTAAATTCCTTTATGCGAATTCCTTTGCGGTCAGTGACCGGACGAAACGGTCAACGGTGCATTGAATATTTTTGTGCATATCTAGTCTATGTGCGTTCTTCTGTAAAAAAAAAAAAGAAAAAGAGAAAAAAACAATTTTAATAGTCCGCAACCTTGTGGACGATGCATTTTTTGGAGGGCCTCTGGGGGAAAAATAACAGACAGAAAAGTGACAGTTGCATGAAATATTTCGGGGGAGAAAAAAAAGAAAGATCGCGATAACGTTGATTCGCGGTTGAATTTTTTTTTTCAAGTTCAGTTACCTGCTAGGATCAAATACGAAGGATGAGGGGGAATATTTTGCGTGCTGCTGAGATGATGATAAAAATGAGAAAACGGTTTTTTTTTTGATTGAGCATTGTTTTCCACCTTGGCATCGTCACGACAATGATGGAACATCTCATCGTCGTTGTTTCTCTCATTTTTATTTCAATAAGAGGGGAAACAAGTTTTATTTCCTGAAGTTGATGGTTTTGGGTTTTCATAACGCAGATTTATCGTTCTTTTTTTCCGGCGGTTATTATTTGAAAAATCGTCTGCATTTGTATTCCATTTTTTTTTAATATCCAAAAGGTCGATTCGCCAGCTGCTGTACATGAGTTACAGAATATTGCTAAAATTTTTAAATTTTCGAAAAAAAAAGGTGCGGATGATTTTATTTTGATTTCGTCAGCATCGAAGACCTTTTCGCCGGCAATTACGAAGGTTTTCCGTATATTCTGCTCAAGATATGATGAATGCGAAACTGTTGTAAACTGTGAATTTTGGGTTTCGATTTTGTAGAACTTGGTGTCAATAAAAACCAGGTATTCGTATTTGTTTACGAGAAAATCGCAAAAAATATGCGTGCAATTATTTTTTCTGTACACTCGGCCAATATTTCAGCGGGGGGAAAAAATTCGACGCACGTTCCAACGTAATACCCAGAATGTTTTTTTTGTGGGATTTCATGTCTTCTTTTTAATTGTGGAGAGAAAATGTTGAAATCCAGCAAAAGCAGTAAACTTGGAACGCTGAAGAATTGTTTTTTGCATAAAGCAACGGTGCAATTAAATCTTGCTGCTTATGAGAGCTTGCGTAATTTGAGTGAAGTAAAATGGTATCGGGTTTGAAAACACTTTAAATTTAAAAAAATAGTTTTTCTCTTTTGAACGATGTTACACAAGGTTATGCTGAAAATGTCTTGCTCGATTTCAAAATCCATGCAGTTAGCTTCATGAATAGGTTTTAGGTTAAGAAACCCATCCTCTTTTGTAACAATTATAGTTGCAGTATTCTGATGGATGTAAAACAATTTCATGAATTATTTTGTAAAAAAATATATGTATACTGTCCAATTCATAAAATCGAAAATCAACAATATTTCCGTTTTTATAGCATATTTTTTGGCTTGAAAACAATAAAATTACTTTGTAGCAAATGAATGGAGTTTAGCTTTCTTTTGGAACCCTTTTCAGTGATTTGTATCCTTCCACATAAGGAAATCTTCAATATACTTCAGGAGAAATCTGCTGTTGAAGGACTTCCATTTTTCATTTGTATCCTGTAAGATATAGTGCAATATGGAAGCAAGAAAAGAATTAAGAGGTTTGGAATGTTAGACTTTTAAGATTTACTTGAGCCCGCAGGGAAATATTTTTTCAAAGAATTGGGAAGAAGAGTGGGATGTGTGTCAAATTCAGTTCAGTCAACCCTCAATTTAGTGCCAATTTTGCTTAGTGCCAAAAATTTAACCCGAACAAATCTCCCTCTACAGTATTGTGTACTTAATGGAACCCCAGATTTAGTGCCAACTCACTTGGTGCCACATGAAATGTCTTGCCAAAGCTGAAAAATGGGCAGAAACTGAGGGAACTTTGTGTTTTCCTCAGTTTCCTAACACATTTTTATTGGGGATCCCAGGTGAGATTCAAATTTGAATGTTTCTGCTAGATGCTGTATTTGAGTACTGACTTGTAAAGTAAATTTTCCAAGATTCTTGGATCCCATTATAGATATAAGCAACTATTGTTGGGGCCTGCAAGATGTTGCCAGAGGGGTGAGGGATTTCTCTGGGGCCTGGCTTGGGCACATGGGAACAGGTGTACACATAGCAAAAGTTCCACTGCATGACCAGTTTGGTGTAATAAAGCAAACCAGGGGAAATGCGTGATTTTGAAGCGGAAAGGAAGGAGCAGGGACTAGCAGTTGTTGGGGACTTGCTGCACCTCCTTTCAGAAAATCAATTATAAATATTTAATTGGGTGGAAAACCACCTGCGCGTAAAAACGGATGAAAGTCGTCAACAACTTTCCCCCTCCCCAAAAAAATGCAAGTGTCTTGGCGCCAAGACGTCTTTGATGACCAATTTATCAGCCAATCCCAGGCCTTTGAGATTTTCTTGTCCTTGATCAAGCCCCCTTGATCAAGAACCAGAGGAGAAATTAATAAATACCCCCTTTTTTATTGCTGAACAGTACAGTCTGATCCAGCTGCTGAAGCATTGCGTTTGAGAGGCTTTTTTGTTGTTTAAACAATTTTTGTCTTGTGTCTTGTGTGACTTTATCTTTAACAATTATGGGGACATTTGAAATATACTTAAAACTTTAACTAGGGATTCCACCATGAATTCCCGGCCCCAGTCCCAGGCTCATTCTGTGTTTTCATAAACCCTTTCTAAAACTCTTCTTTTCAGCATTTTCTTGTTGAGGTGACTTCTGTCCCCAACAGCAGTGAAGCTTCACTTGAAGATTTCATCTGCCAAAGGAAGGACTGAGGAATTTCCCTTGGAAAATCTGTGACTGTTCTACTGTGTGTGGATAGGATATTTCCTGAAAGGCTTTGTGCAACAATTTGTATCACTCTGCCTGTGTCCACGCTCTTTGGTCTTTGCACTCTGAATAGATTAAGGTTTTACAGGGACTCCAATAAGGAGGATCCAGCTGCCTATTTGCTGACTGCCTCAGTTTCCTTTCCCTGCCACTTTGCCACTGTCCTAGCCCATTACCAATCACAGGAGAATAAATTCTAATGGTTTTAAAACATACCATGCATACGCTTTATTAAAAGTATAAATTGCTTTCTCTCACTAATAATATAATGCAGATGCTCAAGTCGAGGAATTCCTAAGCACCCTACCTGGGTTGGCTCATAGTTTTGTTTTGTTTTTTGTTTTGGTCCTAGTTCAATGCATGCCATGAATTCATGTATTGATTGCTAAAGCACTTACTACACAAGCATCACAGAATTATTGAAATTTCATCCACCAATAAGATACAAGAAAAATCTCACCCACTTTTATTTTTATTATCGCCAAAGGGCTTCATGAGTGAAATATAAAAGAATATAAACCCCTGTACTGTATGATAATTTTCTGATCAGGGTAATGAAATTCCAAGCCTCATTTCACAATATTTGGCTTTCCTACCTCCAGTGTCCAAAACCCCAGGAAATAAATATTGCCTCAGGCAGCCCCCTATATATGTAGAATTATTGCTTTCCGCCCAGCAGTCAAATTGGGATGCAACATCATTGCGTCATCTTGTTTCGAAGAAGAAAAATGCTTCCAACTGCTCAGTGACTGAGAAGTTAGTTCTTCTACACGTTATACAAATTGTAAAACAGCCATCAGAGATGTCAAGGGGCTGAAAAACGGCTTCAACCCGCTTACATAAACTGTTGGTACAGTAATGTATCTGCAATGTAGGACAGCATCCGTGTGGTTCGGTACGCTAGTCAGTGCATCTTCCTTCGTTCCGCCCACAGGAGGGTAAGAATAATCACTGAGGTAAATCAGCCTGAGGCGAAAATTGCTTTGTAAGCGCTGCATCAACGTTTGATTAGGAAATACTGTACTGTATACCCAGCAGAGAGAAAACAAACATTTGTCTGGTGCTGGTTCAAACATAAGAGATAGCTTCTGGTCTCCAAGGAATGTCTTCTGTGTGGGGGAATAAATTAAAGGGTGATGNGTAAATCAGCCTGAGGCGAAAATTGCTTTGTAAGCGCTGCATCAACGTTTGATTAGGAAATACTGTACTGTATACCCAGCAGAGAGAAAACAAACATTTGTCTGGTGCTGGTTCAAACATAAGAGATAGCTTCTGGTCTCCAAGGAATGTCTTCTGTGTGGGGGAATAAATTAAAGGGTGATGGAATTCCTCTTTTCTGAACAGCCTACAGCTGTGGGGGCCATAGGAGATGTGGATGTAATTGGGGCTTGTACCTTGTCTTCATGTTGGAACATCACCATGTCAGATCATGTTTTCCCCTAGACTTTGTGGAATTCCTCTTTTCTGAACAGCCTACAGCTGTGGGGGCCATAGGAGATGTGGATGTAATTGGGGCTTGTACCTTGTCTTCATGTTGGAACATCACCATGTCAGATCATGTTTTCCCCTAGACTTTGGTGAGTTCAATTTCCTAGAAAAAAAAGACAGATTGCAATGATTAACACAAGGGCAATCAGCCAGTTATGGTTGGGCACACATATTCCAGAGAAAACCTGGAATAAGCAAGGTGGACCAGAAAAGGTGAACCAATTTTTTCATGTACAATAGCGCAGTAGCAAATCAAGCTGAAACAACAACAACAATAGAACATGAGAGCTTGTTAAATTTCCTTTCAAAAGATTGGCTATTTTATGTTTCCAAGTGATATGTCAAGGTCACAAGAGGCATTTCCATCAAGAAATTCCCACAAAAAACAAGCTGTCTCCCAACTCCTTCTGCTCTTGAACATCCCAACTTTTCTTGTATGCATCCAGAGGATAATAAGGAAAGTTTATTCTTACATACAAGAATGTCCTGAAGAGATTCTGTTCTGCAGAGCTGTTTTGTGGGATAAATACGGTGCAGGACAAATAATTGAATGAATGAATGAATGAACAGAACACTTTATTTGCAGCTTTTCAGCGTTCACAAGGTTCAATCAAGATTTCCACAAACAAACCCCCTTCCCACCCATAATTTAACCAGGCAAATAACTTAACCAGCAAACTTCATGTTGCCTTCAAGAGCATGCCAACATTCCTGGAATTCCTCTTTTCTGAACAGCCTACAGCTGTGGGGGCCATAGGAGATGTGGATGTAATTGGGGCTTGTACCTTGTCTTCATGTTGGAACATCACCATGTCAGATCATGTTTTCCCCTAGACTTTGCCACTTTGGTGACTTCAATTTCCTTTTTAAAATAAGGCAAATTGCAATGAATATCACAAGGGCAATCAGCGAGTTATGGTTGGGCACACATATTCCAGAGAAAACCTGGAATAAACAAGGTGGACCAGAAAAGGTGAACCAATTTTTTCATGTACAATAGCGCAGTAGCAAATCAAGCTGAAACAACAACAACAATAGAACATGAGAGCTTATTAAATTTCCTTTCAAAAGATTGGCTATTTTATGTTTCCAAGTGATATGGCAAGGTCACAAGAGGCATTTCCATCAAGAAATTCCCACACAAAAAAAGCTGTCTCCCAACTCCTTCTGCTCTTGAACATCCCAACTTTTCTTGTATGCATCCAGAGGAGAATAAGGAAAGTTTATTCTTACATACAAGAATGTCCTGAAGAGATTCTGTTCTGCAGAGCTGTTTTGTGGGATAAATATGGTGTGGGACAAATAATTGAATGAATGAATGAATGAACAGAACACTTTATTTGCGGCTTTTCAGCGTTCACAAGGTTCAATCAAGATTTCCACAAACAAACCCCCTTCCCACCCATAATTTAACCAGGCAAATAACTTAACCAGCAAACTTCATGTTGCCTTCAAGAGCATGCCAACATTCCCAAAATTTATGAGGTAGGGCTGGTAAAGGTGAGAAGTGATGAACAAATTGAACAAAAGAATTTTGCCCTTGCT